TACGAAAGAGTTAATAAATTTCCAACCAAATAATGCTTCAAAAAGTAATGACTACATGGTGTGTATGGTAATGTTGTTAGTGCATTAGAATAATGGGATAAGAAATGCTTATCGTTTATTAATACTAACTCCGTCGATAACTTATTTATTAGATATTTTTATCTACCGCAAAGCTTCAACACTGATGAATCAAGTATTTAAAATTCTTTTTCGTGTTATGAGTTTCGTCTCAATATCAATGAAGTGTTCATTGCAAAACACATGCACCTAAAAGCTTGTAAAAATGTTCTTTTGACATAGCGAAAGATGCGCAGAGTAGTAAACTGTCCGGGGGTAGTCATGAGCTAATTAACAACATGAACTACATGAGCTATGTCAAGGCGAGTAAATGTCAAATAGACGGTGAGACTCAAACTCGAAACCTATGTTTCTGATATCATGTTAGATGATCGGAACGACTGTCTCACCTAATAGCTTAATATTTACACACATTTACATTGGAGAAATGGGGATTGATTGCATTTTTCTAAAGAGGGTATTGAGTGAGTGAGATGAGAATTCATTCTCTGAAACACACATTGAATAAGAAGCCTTAAATCTTAATCCCCTTTGTTGATATGCCTTGAATCTAGTCTAGCTGTCTTTAATAAATCTATTCTCTATTTCTATCCGTGGATGTAGCCAACACGCTATTGGTGACCCGTGTAAATCTATGTCTTTATTTTTACGTTTTTGTTTGTTATTCGGTCATTAATCCTATAATCCGTCATAGCACCCTTGAATTTCGAATAAGAGAGATTTGATCTTTTACTTGAATATGCACATTCTTGATAGAGAAATCAGAAGCAACATCAAACTTTCTAGTGGAAGTTTTGTATTAATCGTTGAAGTTGTTTTTAGGTCCGATCCAATGAAAGGAGATTCGAACAAAGAAGAAGCAGTTTGTTGCCATTGAAAAATCAAAAATGCAGAAAAAGAACCTGAAGTTGAGACTTTGTGAAGGTGCTTTTGAAGAGGATTTCATTATTGTATTCGGTAGTCATTGGATTAATTTGGGTGTTGATGGTTTTCTTTATTATTGTTTGAGTTGAGTTTTAACTTTTTATCATATGTCTGAATCTTAATAGATTAACTTGGGTTCAATGTAGGTGGTGTGAAGGCCGAACTAGATAAACAAACATGGTGTTTGATTTATTCTATATTTCCGATATACTTTATCTGGTAATTCATTCGTCATCTGAACAACCATCAAACGACAATATTTGGGGACAACAATCTTTTAGAGTTTATGTTCCGACTTGAAATTTTAACTTATTAAGAGGGTGTTTGACAATTAGCTTTTTTTAATAATTTTTAGCTTATTTAAGAGATTTTTATCTCTTCGACTAGTCAAAAAGCTAATTATAATATTTGGTAAATAAGCTTTTTTTTAACCTTAATTATATATATTCCATATTAGCCCTTAAATATTAATTATTTTTTTTACACATATGTTTACTTATTATTTCAACATATTTATTTATTTGGTAATTATGGTTTAATTTTCCATATTTCAAATGATTCAAACTATTAATTATTTTATATATTTTTATTTTCTTTGTAAAATATATTAATTTATTAAATTAAGGAAAAATATAAATATGATTAATTTATTTATATATATTTATTATATAAATTTTATATTAAAAATAAATAAAATAGATTAATTTTATTGAAAATAATAATAATATATTAATTTATAATTATCATAATTAAAATAGATATATTAAAAAATAGTTTTTTTTATATTTTATATTATTTTCAATAAAAAAATTATTATGTTTTTTAGTAAAATTATTTTTAACAAAAACATTTTAAAATAGCAAAATAAATATATTAATAATATTTTCCCAATTTTCGATAACCAATAATAAAAATTATCAAAATTCTAAACTTCAAATATTTTAGTTGAATAATTTTAAAATATAATGTAAATATCTTCGAATGTCATTTTATATATAAACAACTAATATCAAACACCAAATACTTTAACACAAATAGCTAGCTATCTCCTAATTGCCGAATAGACAAAGTGCTTTTTTTCTTGGCCTATTATTAATTTTGTTTTACTCTTATATATATATATATATATATAATATTTTTTTTTGCTGTTAACTTCATTTAAAAAATAAAAAATAAAAAATTGCACATACAAGATCAATCAAACAAACCATTCTCCAGTCGATTACTCAAATTTTGATTTAATATCTCTACCATATCTTAAACCATTGTCCTTTAACAAGTATTTTTCAACATTTATATTATATTCATTGTTTTAATCTTGGAATCGTCCTAAAAATCAACAGTTTGTTTGGTTGCATTTTTTACTTTTTTTTTTTTCACAGTTAATAAATTTAAAAAGATCACAATATATACTTTTCTTTAAAATATTATAAGAAAATAGCTTTCATCAAAATATGATGCAAAATAACTGCAATTTGAAGGATACTATTTCCATACCTACTATCACTTTGATAGAAAGAACTAATGCCACGTCATGCGGCCTTTTATTTTTTATTTCCTCTTTTTATGTTTGTGTTCGGAATTGGACGAAATTCGCATGCTTCGCTAGAGGTTTTGTAGGAGGCAATATGCAAAGTTTACCAGCAGCCGTTTCCTGATCGAGTTGTTGAAGAACATGACACGCCCAAATTTTTCCCAGCTTCAAATGGCGTGGCAACAGCCTTCTTAGACGATGTATGTTTTTCTTTGATCTATTTGTCCAAAACTTCCTCCAATACAACGTACTACCATATATATTTTATTTTTTTACAAAAGTCAATATTCAGTTGCTCAGTCCAAAATAAATACTCACTTCGTCTCAAAACAATAATCTCATTTTTTTTCATTTTGGTCCGTTCCAAAACAATAGTCATATTTTCATATTTGGCAACAAATTTCTCATATTTTTACAAAACTATCCCTACTTTTTTCACAATAATTACATAATGTAGAAGCATTTTGTCTTTTAAAAATACATTTACACTCAATTCCAAATGTCCCTATTGTTAAGGAGGAGTATTTTATTTTGTCACAAAAGTCATTATTTAGTTGCCCAGTCCAAAATATCACAAAAGTCAATATTTTGATCTGAGTTGTTGAGGATGCGACAACAACAAAATCCTGAGCTTCAGTCTGTCAACGCGCCGGGTGAGTTACCGAACCACGAAGCGGAAAAATGGAGCTCGCCGACGGTCAGCCGCGATCTTTTTCAATTTCAGCTTGAACACGGCACATTTGAAGAATAGTATACTGCCTCCAAAATATAGACCTCCTTTAGGATCCTCAGCTATTGTTCCTGTATACTGTAACAAACATTAGTTTTAGTTAGAGCCGGCAAAAATTGATCCGATATGACAATTCGATACGATCCGATACGAAATAATTGGGTTTGGGTCAAAGATTTCAACCCGATTATGCATATGGGTTGACACGAACCCGACACGATAATAAACGGGTCGGGTTAGGGTTGAGGCTCTCAACTCGAACCCGACACGACAACCCGATTATAATATATTAATATTGATTAATATATTTATTATATATATAAAATAATCATAATTTAATAATTTTTTCATAAATTAATTTAAACTAAGTTCAATTTTAAATAATTCAATCTAATTTACGCTAAAACCAATAAAAACTAACATAACACGACAACAAAATAAAAAATTATTTAATTTGAATCAAGAAATTAGACTTAATTATGTATACGGATCAACATGAGTCAACCCGAACCTGACACGATAATAATCGGGTTAACACAAACCCGACACGATAATAAACGGGTCGGGTTAGGGTTGAATAATTTAATTCGTTTAAAGTATTCAACCCGACACGAATCAACCCATTGCCAACTCTAGTTTTAGTGTATATACAATTTAGGAATTTGGAATTTTGAAGCCAAAAATTTCGCATGATGTATACCAATTTTTGGTAATCCAAGATTGTTTAGAGCTTCAAATCAAACTATTTTAATTTTTGGGACTTTTGTTCTACAATTATTTTTATTTTAGGCTCAATATGTTTTTTTAGTGTTTTAATTCGAAGTGTTGTTTATGTAAAGTATGAAATATTATATAAGTAGTATAAAAAATATTTTTTTGTTGATTTTATTTATTTATTTTTATTTATTTATTTATTTTTTTGAGTTTACAACTATGTGAATATCTGATTTTTTGTTTTGTATTCAGTTTTCTTTGATAGATAATAAAAGTTTCGATTTTTAATTGGCAATTCATATTGGTCTATCTCAATTCATGAATCACATTTTAAAATACCACAATACCCGTTATTAGTACATTTGCTGCTTCAATCAATCAATCAATTCAAAATTTTATTATTGACAAAAACATAAAATTTCATACAATGCGGCATCTTTGGATTGGGTGTGAGCTTTGAGAACAGTATAATTTAAATGCAAATACGTTTTTTTAAATGTGATGTGTGAACCGAAAATAAGGATTTATTTGCACAATATTTTCTTTTCTAATATATATTTTACCATCTCAAAAAATATATATTAAATATTAAATATAAAATATTATCTTTTATATTATCTAACATTCTTTATACTTAACATAATAAAAATAAAAATAATTCAAATCAAAATATTGAACAAATAAACCTTAAAAATCAAATATTTATATATATCAAACCCTAAACCCTAGTACAGGTGGCATCACAGAGAGTCTAGATATATAGTATTTCTCTAGGTTTTGGGGTTAACACAACAAACTCTTGTTTTTTTTTTCGATAATGACACGATAATCCACAGTCGTTGCCCAAAAAATGTGTAGTAAATTAAGCCCAATAAGATAAGTCATTAGGCGAACCATATGTGTCACCTAGAGCCATCTAGGGTTTGAACCATGACAACAACTCTTAAACATATATTACAGTTTTCATATGTGCCTATAAATATGATATCAATCATCACAACAACCACGGATAAGACAACATTTATTTACAATGGCTGGAAAATTTGTGCAGGCAACTTATCCTTCAGATGATATCAGCCGGCGGAGGCTTCCCATCGAAAAATTTGCACCGAGTATCTGGGCTGATACTTTCACTTCATTCTCCTTCGATATTCAGGTATCATATTATGGGACATAAACACGATGAATGCAAGCATGATTATACATTTGTAAAGTTCGATATTTTTTGGGGTTGCAGGCACAAGAAAAGCGTTCCAAAGCCATCGAATCTCTCAAGGAAAAAGTTAGAGAAATGATCATTGCTGGAGGAAGTAATCATGAACTGAATGAGAAGCTAATATTAATCGATACCGTGGAGCGTTTAGGATTGGCGTATCACTTTAAGCATGAAATCGAGGAGCAACTCGAAAGCATCGCTAGCAATCTCTCGGAACACAACGACTTATACACTTCAGCTCTACGGTTTCGAATTCTTAGACAGCACCACTATCTTGTTTCTTCGAGTACCTCAACAAATAATCACTATATTTTATTTTCTATCCTATTTTGTTAAAGCAATGCGATCTTTGACACGTCTAATTTTCAAAACTGATATACAATGTGTTAACACAGGTGTATTTAACAAATTTATGGATCAAGATGGGAAGTTTGATGAGATACTCAGTAGAGACGTGAAGGGATTGTTGAGCTTATTCGAAGCATCACAGGTGAGGATTCATGGAGAAGATATTATGGAAGAGGGATTAGCTTTCACTACCCATCATCTGAATGCTTTAGCACAAACATTAGACTGTCCACTTCAAGACCAAGTAAAAAGAGCTCTAGAGCATCCACTTCATCGAAATTTTTCAAGAATAGAAGTGCGCAAATACATTTCTTTCTATGAAAAGGATTGCTTGCACAACAAAGTGATTCTGGAATTAGCCATGCTGGATTTCACTTACTTGCAAAATTTGTACAAGAAAGAGCTTTGTGATCTTTGTAGGTGGTGGGACAATATTGATCTCATGTCGAAGCTCACGTATGCCAGGGACAGGGTGCCAGAGATCTATGTTTGGAGCTTAGTAGTTTATTTCGAACCCAAAGACTCACTTAGTCGATTGGCGGTTGCTAAATGCACAATAATAGCCTCAATATTCGATGATATGTACGATAACTATGCAACTGTTGAAGAAGCCGAAGCCTTTACAAAGATTTTAGAAAGGTATATGCGTGATTCATTATTTGCTTATTATCATGTAAATTAACTATGGAAGAAAAATTGCTTCTTGTATATTCAAGAAACATGAAGATTGCTCTCTCTCTCTCTTTCTAAGGTGGGATATTGATGAAATGGATCGACTTCCCGACTACATGAAAATTGTCTATAAATTCATATTGAGTACATATGAAGAATTTGTATGTGAGGCATCGAAACGAGGAAGACTATTTGCAGCTCCCTATGTTAGAGAAGTGGTAAGAACTAATATTTTCAGATTAAATTGTTTCTTGCCCTCAGATTGATAAGAAGGTGTGTTTTTTTTTTTTACTTTCAATTTCAAATCATTGGATCATCCTTAAACGGTTACAACTTGCAATGGACAGATTAAAGAACTTAGCCGAGGTTATAACAACGAGCTTAAGTGGTTTCTCGGTGTACAAATGCCCACACTTGAAGCCTACAATGCGAACATCATTATTACAAGTGTGGTATTTTTACTAACCACGCCGGCTTTGTTAGGGATGAAATCTGCAACAGATGAAGTATTTCACTGGCTACTCAATAGGCCTAAACTTGTCCTGGCAGCTGCTAGGATTGGTCGACTTCTAGATGACTTGGGCTCGGATAAAGTAAGCGCTAACATCAATTCTTTCAGTATTCCATATCTACCTAATATATATATATATATGCTTCATCCACTTAATTGATCCTCTGAAAAGCTTCATGAATTTGAAGCGCGAGGGCCGAGAAGGGCAAATGCTCACGGCAGTCACCATGTATATGAAACAACACGGCGTAACAAAGCAAGAAGCATTGAACAAATTTGCTGAAATTGTTGAAGATTCATGGAAGGACATTAATTCAGAGTGGTGTAACTTGCCTTCCTACATTCCTCGTGAAGTCGCAAATTTGCCTCTCAACTTTGCTCGAGCATCAGAGATTTTTTATAAGAGCTCGGAAGATGGATACACAAGTCCTGAGAAGGGTATGGCTACACAGATGGCTGATCTCCTTGTACTTCCCCTAATCGTTTGATTCATTTGTGATTATGAATATATGGATGTTCCAAAATGCTAGTTATTTTTGCAATATACATGATGAGAGTGCAGGCCTCATATTTGTTAGTTTGGCATTTACTTCTATGGATTCTGTTGTTTTTTTGTGGATTTAATCGAATGAAAATGTGAGTGTGAAAGCAATGAGTAAGACAGAATAGAAACTGATATATTTCGATTATTCAACATGCAATACATGAAATAGTTGCACAATAGGCATAATCTTGTTCTAGCATCCTCGAGGACCGGCCGAATGCTAAATGATAAAGCTTCACATGAGGTATGCATTAACAACAACCTTCGAAATTCAATCTTTCTTTCTTATCTAGCTAATATATCCATAAGTTTTATTGGAAAAATATGTCTTGATTAGAGGCCAACTCATCGGAGTTTCTTGGCAGCAGAGTCATGAAACTTTATAATTGATCGGTTGGTCATCAGCTAATTAACTTATTCTGCAATCTAAATAAAATGTAATATCGGAGAGAGGAAGGGGATAATCTCAATAGGGAAGGTATGATTCACTCTGTAATGCATTAAACTAAAATAGGGATTTTTTTTTTTTTTTAATTTGTTAAAGTAAATTCATAATTTAATTAAAAGATGACTTTGTTATCAATGAAAGTATTAGCTCCATCGGATGATGAAGAGAAGAAATTATACTTGTATTTTATTATCAATTTAATAAAATTAATTCTTATGAGACTATCAATTAATTAGTTTTAGTTACCAACAATCTTTGATAATCACTTTTTCCTTACAATATCATACAACCATAATAATTATTTTTAACTACTTTTCAAACTAGAAAAATCTAATTAAACCAATTACTATATAAGATGAGCATTTTAGATTTGATTGTCTAATCAAAATATTGAACTATTCATCCCGGTTATTACTTATTTAAATGTAAATAAAATTAGGATTATATTGTTTACATTGACAGTAAATTATTATACTTAAATTTTTGGGGAAAAATAATAAAAATGTAGAGCAAAATCGAATTTCACACGGAAAAACCGATTTTGGATATTCTTTGAGTTAGATAAATTCACTTTTGTTATACAATATTTTGATCTTATTAAGGCTTTGGGTTACACAAAATTCCTACAATAATAAAAATAAAGCAACACTCGAAATTTAAACAAAAAATCGAGTAAGTAAAAGGTTGGGGAATTATTTATATATGAAAAAAAAAAACTTATTTTCAGAATTCTGCATAGATTTCTGTTACGGTATATTTTTTCTTCTTCTCGAGTTTTTTGAATTAAGTTTTATTTACAAAATTTGAAGCATCTGCTAACAAAAGATGTAACTTTAATTGGATTTAAATTCAAAAGTTGTCAATAGAATATTTTCAACTTTTAATTTCAAATTGAAGAGATTAGATCTCTTCGTTAAAAGTCTTCAATTCAATTTAAATATTTAATTAAATTTGAATTTTGAGGGTTTCATCCAAAAATTAATTTAATTTAGTTTCTAATTTTTAAAATTTATCACAATATTTAAAAAATAGTAATTTTACATACGGGTGAATTACATTATATAATCTTCTTTTTTTGGTCATGGACATGACTAAACCACCCATCCATCCAATTATTGACAGTTCTCCAAAAAAATGATGAATTGAGTATTTGGGGGCTCTTCTACTTGCTTGTGAGTTTGTCCCAAGATTAATGCAATGTTTATTGCAAAAAGACAAGGCAAATGTGTTATTACAAAAGTGAGACAAAGACAAAAGGGATCAAAAAGCAGTCGAACCATAAAAACAATTAAAGTTGCTCTTGTAAATTGGCTGAAGACACCTCTGAGACTGTTGATTAGCTTAATGATCCCTAGAAATGGGAGAAAATTGCAAAAAAATATATTACACTTATACCCTATTATCGTTTTTGTCATATATTTATTTCGCTGGTAAAATACATCATATATGTTTACAAAAGTCGTTATTTATATCATTTGCCCGTGCGTGACATTCACACCACGCGCCCTTACGCGCAGCCACGTGCGGCTAAATGATAGAAATAGCGAATTTTGCAAACATGTGGAATATATTTTGCCAGCGAGATAAATACAGGACAAAAGTGATAATAGGTATAAGTGTAGGATACTTTTTGCAATTTTCCCTTAGAAATGGTTATTCTGATTTTCGGAAAGCTAAGGTTGTCCGTAATTGAGATATATAGATACACACATTCACGATGGAGAAAATGGAGCTTTTTTTTTTTTTTTTTTTTTCTTTTCTTGGGTGAAATTTTTGTGTGTTAAAGAGCATGATGTGGAGAAGTCTTCCTCTCCATCACACCCATGGATGAAAGCCCTTATCACTTGTGATTCTTGGGTGAGTTTTGTCTTTAATGTGTGAAGAGATTACTCAATGTTTTGAGAGATTTTTGTGAGAAAAAAAATTCATGATTTGATTAGCACAATCTTAGAGATCAAATATATTCTTTTAGTTTGGTATGTTTGTGCACATTTCTTGATGGAACACTAAAATATGTTGTCAGATTAGTTAGCCTTGCAAATTAGGCTCAGAAAGTCGAACTTAATAGTCTACCGGCAAAACCAAGTTATGTCAAGAAGATTTGAATCATCGTACCACTAGATCATCTTTTACAGAATGCATAAAAAATGGAGAATATTATTATTTTGTTGATCGGAAAAAATAATTATTGTTATTATTATAATTATTATTTTGGATCGGAGTTATTGTTATTATGATTAGTTGTTACTAGAATCACACATTATTAATAAAAAATAATAATAATTGGTTGGCTAGCTCCACAAAACAAGTATCAATATGTAAATATGAAAAGTAGATCAAGGATCTAATGATGCTATTATTAAACATTATTGCTAATTTTTTTTAAGAACTAGACTCTGTGTAGACAAGTAGTCCATTTATTTGGTATATATATATATACATATTTCATGACGTAGGCAATAATTAGGACTTTGTGTAGACAAGTAGTCCATTTATTTAGTGTATATATATATTTTTTTTATTGTGATCTATGAAAGAATTGTTTTATAGGAAATAATATTTTGCCTTATTATACATGTATTCTATATGTCGTATATTTGTTATTGTTAGTCTTTTTAAGGAAGTGTGCATTAGGGTGCGCGCAATTTGTTTGGGGTTTTGGATTCTGAATTGAGATTTGAATAGTAAAAAAATTTGAATTGAAATTGTTGTATAGTGTGATATAAATATTGATTGATGTGATGTTTTGAATGAAAAATTAATTTTTAGTATAATATAAAAAATAAAAAATATGTGTTTGATTTGATGTTTTTAGGGGAAATTTTTTTTTTTTTTAATAGTAAAAGTCCACCAAAATTCTTCAAACAAATACAACATAAGTGAACACATTTGAATTTTGGAGAATTTTGAAGTTAATAATAAATTTGATATTTTATGTCATATCTTGTGAAAGTAAATAAATATTTAATACTTTCTCCGTCTCAAAATAAGATATTTGTTTGCTTTTTATATGCATGTTTTTGTAATACTAGTATATTTATACGGAAGAGTATTTATCGACATTATATTGTAAAAGTATTTATAATATTAGATAAATAATAAAATTATCAAAAAAATAAAATAGATAATTTCTTTTGGGACAGGGGAGTATATATAAATCTTTTGAAAAAATTATTATTGATAAATAATTATATTTAAATCTCCGAGGCTTTTGAATCTTTACTGTCATATATTTTTCGAGTATGATTTGCCATATCGAATTTAATTTACCAATTATTCAGTTCGACTATGGTTTACTCAGAGCATATTCAATTAGTAGAGGCCGGAGATTCGCTTCTCATAAAAAAAAAAAAACAAAAAACAAAAAAAAAACAAAAAAACAAAAAATAAATAAATAAATTATAAATAAAAAAACAAAACAAAAAACATAAATAACATAAACCTAATCCACCTGTTACACAAAAATGTTTATAAAAAGTCGAGCCGAAATTGATATTAAATTTCAAAGATACTGATGGTGAATTGATTTATTTTAAATTTCGACTGCTTAATAATATTCAATTAACCCACATGATTTAATTATTCAGTTATTCGGGGTTGTCAGACTATTTTATTTTGTCATATAATACATTAGATGTTACATACAGCTTATATAAATCAATTTTGTGCTACCTTGTACTATGCTAACTAAAATCATGGACACCACATACTGTTATAGTATGCTGTAATCAACATCATCTGTCATTATTATACACAATATTTGGTGTGTATAATAAAACTGTGTGTTATTTATATATATTATTGTGCTGATTTTTTCAATTCAGCACTCTGACCGTTCCATAATAAATATAATATTACTCTGATTTAACTGTTATATCATAAAAGATATTACATACTATAAAATATATTAATATTATAAAAAAAAAATACAATAAAATATTTGTAAATATTAAAATAAAAAATCATAAAATATTTGCAAATAAGTTTACTTACCCTATGTCCCACTTAATTAATTTGTTCGTTCTTTCTATTTTTGTCCGTTTCGCATAATTTATTATTATTTTTTTGGATATATAATTATATATTTTAATCGTATTTTAAAATTCATAATTTTTAATTTTTTTATTTTAATTAAATTATTTAGTTTTCTTAATTTTAATTTATAATTATTTTTTATTAAGTCATATAATTATTTTTACTAATATATTTTTTTAATTACTTACTAATTATATCGTATCTAAATTAAATAGGATAAAATAGCTGCAAGAGGTAGTATTATTTTTAAAATATAAATATTGTATAATTTGAGGGTATGTCTATTTTTTATTTCGGGTAAAACAAAAAACACAACCATTCCATTCAAAAGATTCTCGATAAGCATATATTATTTTCTATTACAAAACATAATTTCTTTAAATAAAAATCTAAAAAACAATAAATATAATATTGATCATAAAAGAACAACCACTTACAAAACTAAGTTCTTTTTGCATTAGAAAATTTCCACTTACATCTAGTGGAGTTTCTTCGAGATTTCCACAGCGCCAATAGATATATGATATATTTGATCATCACAAACAACCACTTCCATTACAAACATTGATTACTACAATGGCTAAAGAATTAGCGCTGCCATCGTCTCCTTCAGATGATCAGATCCTACGGCGGAGGCTTCCCGTTGAAAAATTTGAAGCCTCTATGTGGGCTGATACTTTCACTGCATTCTCTTTCGATATTCAGGTCTGTGTTTAGTTTACATGTCTGTCAATATATATATATATATGAGTTTTTTGTATATATTTATAGTGAAGTTCGATTTCCTTTTTGGAATTTTAGGCACAAGAAAAGCGTTCCAAAGCCATCGAATCTCTCAAGGAAAAAGTTAGAGAAATGATCATTGCTGGAGGAAGTGAACTGAATGAGAAGCTAATATTAATCGATACCGTGGAGCGTTTAGGATTGGCGTATCACTTTAAGCATGAAATCGAGGAGCAGCTCGAAAGCATTGCTAGCAATCTCTCGGAACACAACGACTTATACACTTCAGCTCTACGGTTTCGAATCCTTAGACAGCACCACTATCGTGTTTCTTCAAGTATACATATGTTTTCTCGTAGTTTTTATTGTTCAAATACTTTTTTTTTATATATCAATGATACCTTTGATATATTGTTTTAACCATACTGATACTGGTTGACTCCCGTAAAATATAAATAAATAAATTATGAGTATCTCTTAAAGCTTAAACTTTTAGGTGAGACTGTCATTTAATATACTACTCCCTCCGTCCCAAATACCATGTTCACGTTGCCGTTTCTGTCCGTCCCACATACCATGTCACTTTCCTTTTTTAAAAAAAATGATTACACACTTTAATCTTTTAAATTTTTTTTTTAATTTTAATTAAACTAATTAGTTATCTTTTAATCTTAATTTATAATTATTTATATTATAGGATAATTATTTTCACTAATATATTCTTAATTATCTACTAATTACACTCTGCCTAAAATACCGTATCTACAGTGTAACAGACACGGTATCTGGGACGGAGGGAGTATTTAATATCATCTGACAACTTATATGATTTGTCAACGCGCAGGCGTATTCAATAAATTTAAGGGTAAAGATGGGAAGTTTGAAGAGATGCTTAGTAGAGATGCGAAGGGATTGTTGAGCTTACTCGAAGCATCACAAGTGAGGATTCATGGCGAAGATATTTTGGAAGAGGGATTAGTCTTCGCGACTTATCATCTTAATGTTTTGGCGCCAACGTTGGAGGTTTCATTTAAAGACCAAGTGAATCGAGCTCTAGAGCATCCGCCTCATCACGGCTTATCAAGAATTGAAGCGCGCAAATACATTTCTTTCTATGCAAGTGATTCGTCGCACAACAAAGTGCTTCTAGAATTCGCCATATTGGATTTCAATTACTTGCAAAATCTGTACCTAAAAGAGCTTCATGATCTTTCTTGGTGGTGGAACAAAATTGATCTCAAGTCGAAGCTCACTTACCTTAGAGACAGAGTTCCAGAGATCTACTTTTGGAGCTTAGGAGTGTTTTTCGAGCCTCAAGAATCGCTTAGTCGTTTGGCAGTCGCTAAGTGCACATTTATAGCCACTGTATTGGATGATACATATGATAACTATGCAACAGTAGAAGAAGCAGAAACCTTTAACAAGGTTTTACAAAGGTATATTTTCATAATTCATTGTTTTTGGTATATTCAAGAACCATTAATGACCTTGCACAATTTTGTCTTTTATAAGGTGGGATATCAATGAAATCGATCAACTTCCAGACTACATGAAAGTTGCCTATAAGTTCATTATGAACACATATGAAGAATTGGCATGCGAGGCATCGAAACAGGGAAGATCTTCTGTAATTCCTTACATCAGAGAAGCGGTAAGAACTAATCTTGCCCTAATTTCTATATATGTATATATATGGATATGGATCAGCATATGCTATACACAGTGGCGGAACTAGGATCAAGTTAGAGGGGGGCTATTTTTTTAAACTAACAAAACACTCTCCCGGTCTCGAAACAATAAAGACATTTGAGTTCGGCTCGAAATTTAAAAAATAATAATATTATGTTTAAAATGAAGATAAAATAGATAGTAAAAAAACTAAAATATTATTAATAGTGTAATTGCTAATAAAGTAATGATATTTATATAAAAATAATAAAAAATATATAAATAATTTAATAATGATATGATTATTTATGAAAATAAAATTATTATTTTGATACGAAAAAAATAAATAAATTATTATTTTAAGATGGAAGAAATATATTTTATATGTCTATTTATTGTCCAACTAATTTTATCTTTCTAATTGTTATAGTTTAAAAATATTACAAAATAACAATTACAATAGTATTATTTACTATATATTGTAAAAATTCATTTTTGAATTTTTATGAAATAAAAAATAATAATACATATTTATTAGAAAAAAATCTATAATTAAAATAATTATTAGTATTATTATTTATTCCAATCATTTTTTCTATGTTTATATATATTAAAAATTTATAAAATAAGTAAATAAATTAAAGGAGGATGGGGTGGGCCGAGGGGGCTGCAGCCCACCCTTGCCCCTTAACAGATATGCCTCTCTTTATATAGGTAATCAACATATATTTATACGTATCTCATGTATTTATAATATTTATACGTATTTCATGTATTTATAATACAATATATGTTATATAATTCAACATATATTATTTGGTAAATCATCATATGTTGTAATATGTGTAAATATATATTCTCTTTCATTCCAAAACTATAGTCGGATTGGATACGAGATTTAAGGAATATTGATATTATATTAGTAGTTGGTTAATATTACAGATAAAAGACTTTTTTGCCTTGTGAGTGTATTAGTGTAAAAAGTAGTGGCAATTGTGTAATAAAAATGAAAAGATAGAGATAGTTTTATGATGATATGGTTATTAATTGAAATAAGACTATTGTTTTGAGACGGACAAAAATGGGAAACAAGACTATTGTATTGGAACGGATGGAGTATTAGTTATGTACGGTGATGACTTGAGTCAATCTTTTCTATTGATATAGAAACAACTCATAATCATTGAATCGTTATAACTTGCAACATACAGATAAAAGAAATTAGCCGAGGTTATAATCAAGAGCTCAAGTGGTTTATGGGGATGGACATGCCGACAGTCGAAACCTACAACTCAAATTCACTTATTACCAGCACGGTATTCTTAAACTGCATGGCGGCTTTGGTAGGGATTAAATCCGCATCGGAGGAAGTCTTTGAATGGGTAGAAAATAGGCCTAAACTTGTTGTAGCATCCTCGAGGATCGGTCGAATTCTAGATGACAAAGGCTCACACGAAGTAAGCACTATCAACAATCTTCAAACTTCAATTTTCCAATCCAGCAAATATACATCCATATTTTCATTCGATTAATTGAAATTTTTTTTATTCGATTTGTTAATTAATTTGCAGCGTGAGGACCGTGGCGGGGAGCTCCTCACGGCGGTCACCATGTACATGAAACAACACGGCACGACTAAACAAGAGACTTTGAACAAATTTGGAGAAATGGTTGAGGATTTATGGAAGGAGTTTTATGCGGAGTGGTGCAACTTGCCTTCCCTCGTTTCTTTCGACGCTGCTAATGTGTTTATCGACTTTGCTCGCATGGCGGAAACTCTTTATATGCATTCACAGGATGGGGTTACAACTCCTGAAAAGTATTTGGCCCCAGATATTTCCAGCATCCTTTTGGACCCCATAATCATCTGATTGATTATGATCAGATAATTCTTCTTCATAATAAATAACTCTAAAGTTATGAATCCATGTGTGTTCTATGACCTAGCTGTTGAAGTTGTCGATATAAACATTGTTTGTGGAGCGTGGGGACTTTATTTCCTTAGAAATATTTGTGCTTAATTGCTTGTAATTTTCCTCATGTGTTATAATATTATCTTTTTAAAGCTGGTATTATACTATTTTCGTCTCAAAAATGGTGGAACATTTGATTCGACACGAATTTTTAGATAGATAGTATTAAGTACGATTATTTGAAAATTAAATGATGTGACATGAGAGAAAAAAAATGTATATTTATTTTTTTCATTTGAATGATGTGATGAGATAAAGAGTAGGGTAGAAATTAAATATAGTTAATTATTTTTTATTTCGGAAATACAGCAACGTGTTTGGGACCGAGAGAGTAACTCTTATAATTGGGATAGTGATTAGCACTTCTTACAAAAACATTCTTATATTTTACCATGAATTTGGGTTAGTGTGATTATGTTTTCTCAAACATTCTTTTTTTATTCGCATATGATATTCTTTGTAAGTGTTCACCAGATGGTTAGTTATGTTTAGAGTCCTGTACAAAACATCCCACAATCGTCCATTCTTCATCTTCTTTTGAACAAAAATCTTGGGGCACAGAATTCAAACTGCTATGTTAATCATTTTCATAAAATTCGTACAATTATAGTAATAATTAATATATATATATAAAGGCATTACTGCTATATAAAAGTATGTCATATTCTAAAATCAATTATTACATATGTGTATTTGTATTATATTAATATATAAAATATGTTGTCTATATTAATATTATATGCGGACAGACAATGTGTTCCGAGCACTATGGCCGCCGTCATATGCATAAAATATGCCTAAGGTCATCTCTCATTCTTCACTCAAGTTAGCTATAGTAAAAATGTAGCTTGATCTATAGTGATTTTACTCTAACCATAAACTTCAATTTTCACTCTAATAAGTTTATTATTTATATATTCTTCTTTATATAACTTTTTATATTTATAAATTACACCTCAACTTTAATTTATTTTATACATTATAATACATGCATATATAATTTATATTTTATTTAAAAATTACATATATGAAAATTAACATTTATAATTAATAACTATTACAAATAAAGTAATTTTAAAAAAATAAAATTATACATTATTTTTTTAAAAAAAAAAGTAAAATTACATTTAACTTTTTAAAATATAAAATTATATATCATCATTCTAAAAAATAAAAATTAATAAAAATACAAAAAACACCACAAAATACTACAAAAATTCCACTCCAAAAATGAAGTGAAAAAATGCAAAAATGGGAGGGGGGGAGTGCAGTTTACCCAACTTTCATTCAAAAAGTAGGAAATCGAAGCAAGTTCAACCCGTTGCCAATTGCTTCCAAAGATAGAGCGAACGATCGATATATTAAAAACAATCAGAGAGTCTTTTTCTAGTAGGACACCACTACACTATAATGTTAGCATCACGAGCCTCATGGCCTAAGACCCAATCTTTGAAAATTAGTATTGCCCAAGCCCAAAACCAAAACAAACTCTAGCCCAATCCAATGTATCATTTATGTTAGTAAGGTATAGATTCATATAATTAATGATGAAAAACTCTTTGTGTTTGACAAACTTTTCAACTTACTTTTTGGCCTCTTAAATACCCAACAAAATATATGTAGGGAGTGAAGTCAAACTTGATAGATCAAATTGCTTGTAATTGTCAAGTTGAGCTGCAATCGATCTACTAAAAATATCATTGTTATGAAAATTGAGAATAAAAAAAGCGAAAAAAAAAAAAAAAGTACTCTATATATTATATACTACTCCCTCCGTTTCAAATACCGTGCAACATATGAGTTTGGCACAAGAATTTAGGTGAGTAGTATTAAGTATGATAATTTAATATAACTTTGATATTAGTGATGTGATTGGAGAGAGAAATGCATATTTAATTTTTCTATTGAAGTGATGTGATAGGATAAAGTGAAATGTATATTTATATATATAAATATAATTAACTATTACTCTCTTCGTCCAATAAAATTAGCACACTTGGGTTCGGCACAGAGATTAAGAAAAATAAATATTTTATTGAAAAAGTGATATGTAATTGGGGGTATTTTGGAAGTTTAGTTAGAGATTAAAGTAAATGAAAAAAATAAAATGTAATAAAATTAGTGATATTTGTTGTAAATAAGTGTTTAATGGAGAGTAATAAATAAATATTGATTTGTTGACATTGTCAAAATTAGTAATGGGATAAATTTAACGGACGGACTAAAAAAGAAAGTGAGAATAAATTTGGCGGACGGAGGGAGTACTAAATTTGAAAATATTGCATTGAGGTTGAGACAAAAAAAAGATGAAATGTTGCATGATGTTTGGAACGGAGAGAGTGACATGGTCTGACCGTGTATAATTATAAACAATATAATTTTCTTACCCAAGTTCAGTAGAACAAATGGATTAAGAATATGTATAAAAGAAAAAAGAAAGAAGAAAAAAAAGATAGTGCAAAAAATGTGAATTAGTATGGATAATAACTAACCACGAGAATAAGTCTCGGACCTGAAATCAATCCATAGGTAAAACACAAACAATAGGCTAAATCCCACTACAAAGGATTGAAAGCCACGAACCGATGAAATCACTCCAAAGACCCGATTTGATATTCTAAATGCGAGAAAATCACTCCCTAACACTAGAAAATTATAAAAGTGAAATTTGATTCAAGATGTAAAAAAAGTTCTCATTACAATGATAGACAATGACTTATATAGAGGTACTTGAGGAAAATAAAAGGCAACAAATAATAAAGGAAACAAACCAAAAGGTAAGTCTAACTATAAATAAATAAATAATTATGAAAGTTTTAGATATGGAATTATACTATATGGAAATTTATAATAAAATGAAATATGTATTAAGGTAATTTCTAAAAGCCTCTATAAGTGATGATTCCTTGACAATATTTTATGATTAGCGATTCTCTTCAAAAGTGATGATTTCCTTGGTAATCTTCCATGATTAGCGATTCTTTCCATAAGTGATGATTCTCTTGATAATCTTCCATAATTAGCGATTCTCTCGATTTTTCAATTTTGATTCTTGCGGGTCTCATTGAAGGATCATCAGGTGAAGGCTAAGTAGTCTCCAAGCATCATCCTTAAATTGATTCTCCATGAAAAATCGTCTGATCAATGCAATGACGGATTTTTTAAACTGACGAGCTCGAGATCAAATTATGGGTCCCACGAACATTTGAATGCTTGAAAATTGAACATTCTCGTCAGAGAGTACTATACAATTATACATATTTAAAAAATAATAATTGAATTATTATTATTTGATGATTATATTTATATTCATTATAAACTTATAGTTTTTTATGTATAATAAAATAATTTTTATATATTATAAATAAAGAAATCACTAAACCTTACCTATAACCATCCGCAGTTAACCTTTTTACCTTTTCTTCTTTTTTTTTTTTTTTTTTTCTATTTTTTCTTCTTCTAAGTATTTTTCCTTTCTATTTTGTTGTAATTTGACAATTTGAATGACGATGATAATGGATTATTGTGTCAAATAATTTTTAGCATCCTGGAAAAAAAATCGACTGGAAATAAATAAAAAAAAAAAAAAAACTAAAAATTTAGAAGAATAATCAAACAAACAAAAGTTTCAATTTATCTCTCGAACGAAAAATGTAGAAACGACTCATACAGCAAACAACTTCGATGTTAGAAGACAGTCTCTTTGGATCCCAACTATTCTAACTTTTTATGTGCTCTCTCTCTTTTTTTTTTTTTTTTTTCTTTTACCATAGTTATCGTGTAAATAAAAATCAAAGAAGACAATATTGGATAATAATGGTCAATTTCGATCCAATAAAACTAATACATGAAAATAATAACAAACTGTAAATCCAATAATAAAAAGTGAAAACTGTAACTAAAAAAAAAATTCAAATTCTGAGATCGTAGGGATTGCAAAATATTAGAATGGGGTCGAGCTCTTATATATATATATATATATATGATATGATTACACTATATATCTATAAAATATTATTTTATCTTAATTCACTTGTAAAAGTCAAATATGAAATTTACTAGTGAATGAAGGAAGTAATATTTTATTGATTGGTAGGAGTGACGTAAGATAATATCTATATTCTTATCCTTGAAAATATTATTTTCGATGGAAAAAGATGTCCATTATTTTAAATAAAAGTAAAATATTTTTTTTAAAAAAATATTTAAAAAATAACAAAAATAAATATATTAATAAAAATTTTATAATTATGAATAACTAATAATAAAAATTCTACCCACCTAAAAAATATAACTAAATATTTTAAAAATATAATGTAATATATTATTAATTGTCATTTTACCTATAAATAACTAAAAATAAACCGTTATTTTATCAAATACTTAAATACAAACTGTTAATATATTCAACTAGTTAAACTCGCTAATCGAATCACCTAACGACTATCGCCTAAATGTCAAACATACCCTAAAACTAATTATTATTGTGATAATTACCTTTAATCTGCATAATAACCACCATCTTATCTAAAATATTAAAATACCAAATGACCAAAATACATTTCATTAAATTATTTTACTGTGGATAAAAAATTCAGCACGTTCATACCATAGGCGTCAGCAGATATCTGCCACTTCTAATATTAATCAAAAACAAATTTTGATTGGTTACTGCGAGGTCACAGTTTACCATTATATATATATATAGTAAATCAAGATGCACGGTGCTATATTAAACATTATCACTAATTATATAATAATATAGTCGGACCCAAATTGCTATTAAATTTCAAACACTGAACTACCCAATATTGATGATGTTTTTATTTAATTTAAATTAATAATATTGTTGTCCCACTATATATATATATATATATATATTGGGAATCCATAGCCGCTAATTTCGAATGTACTTTGGATAAATTTTCGATCAAATTTAATATTCTGCAAATTAGACTCGACAAAGCATATCACATTACACAAATCATATAAGACAAGTAAAACCTGAAGACCCGACTATATTTTGTTTTGTCATATAATGCATTAGGTTGTTACATACATATATATATATATATGAGAGTGAAGTCAAAATTGATAGATCAGGTTGCTTGTAATCGTGAAGTTGAGCCGGATCCATCTACTTAAATATCATTTTTATGAAGATTAAGAATAAAAAAAAAAAGAATTCGGTTATCCAGTTCGAATAAAAAAAAATTACTCGGGCCAACTGGGGTACCTTTTATTGGATAAAATTATATTTTGATTGAAAATGGATGATGGAGTGTACGTTGGTATGTTTGTTTGGGGGTTTGGATTTTGAATTAGGATTTGAATAGTAAAAATTTTGAATTTGAATAGTTGTATGATGTGATATAAATAGGCATTGATGCAATGTTTTGAATGTAAAATTTATTTTTATTATAATATATAAAAAAAAAATACGCTTTTGATTTGATGTTTTTGGGGGGAGAAAAATGGAATGAATAGTATAAGTCCACCAAAATCCTTCAAACAAACACACTTTATTTATTTATTTTATTCAAAAACTTATTTAAAATATTTTACATTTTTTCATTTGTATAAAATTTGCATAATTTAGGTCTTTATTTAAAATCAAATATCAAACTTGGATAAGGAGGGTATTTTTTACAAATTTTATATTAACACAAGGGGGAAAATTATATATCATCCCGTTGCATTTTAGTAAAAATACATAAAACACCCCGTATTTTATTTATTACGTGAAAAGGGTAAATTATATATCACCCCATTATTTTTTAGTAAAAATGTATAAAACACCATGTGTTTTATTTGTTACGTGAAACCCCCTCGTGTTAATATAAAATTTGCATAAAACACTCTCTTTGTCCAAAACTGATATTTGATTACAGATAAAACCTAAATTATGTAAGTTTTATACAAATAAAAAACGTCAAAAATATTTTAAATAATTTTTTTGAATTAAATAAATAAATAAATAATTGATTAATCCTTCGTTTTATAATTTTTATGAGACAAGTTGTTATTTGATTTTTAAAACAATTATAAAAATAAATGATTTAATCAATTATTTATTTATTTATTTCATTAAAAAACTTATTTAAAATATCTTATAGTTTTTTATTTGTATAAAACTTGCATAATTTAGCTCTTTATTTAAAAAATATCAACTTGGACAAGGAAGGTGTTTCATGCAAACTTTATATTAACAGAATGAGGTTTCACGCAATAAATAAAATACGGTGTATTTTATGCATTTTCACTAAAACACAATAAAGTGTTATATAATTTACCTTATTTTCAACAAGTAATTAACTCAATACAATTTTAGATGCACTGATTACTCCACACAAGTTTAGATGTCATCCTTTCCCCCTTAAACTTGTGTCTCCTCGAGCTTGGACGCCACGTAAATTCCTCTATTGTTAGAAAGTGTCGCCATTCATAAAAATGTTTGCAACTTGTTCATTGGATTTTACATGTATTAGCTCAACTTTTTTTTCTTTTACTTGCAATGGAAACGAGTGTCGATGTGCTTGAATCGCTCATGATGACTAGATTTTTAGTAAGGACTATTCTGGATCAAATTTCTACAAAAGTCTTTGTCGCATTTCATTTTCGCAGTTTCAGCACTTTGAAGTAATTTCCTCAACCATATGACATGGCAAATACAAGTTGCTGCGGCCATATACTCAACTTCACAAATTAATAAGGCAAATAATACAATAGTATTATTTTTGTATATTTATTTTTTTATAATATAAATTAATCATTTTAATTATTTTGGTATTGATGCATTTTAAATTTTAAACAATCTACTTAATTTTTTTGGATAATGAGATATTTAGATTTTTTAGCAGGGACATTGCAATTTTTTATTGATAGCACAATAATAATATAATGTCAATTTTAAACATCCAAATTTAAATTTTTAGTGGAGTCATTGCGAACAATAACTAAATAACCATTCAATCCATGCAAAGATTATTATTATTATTATAATGTGGAAATTCGTAGTCGTTACTCTTCGAGTGCAGACTAGTCTCGACAAGGCAAATCACATTTAGGTGAGCAGACAAGACTTGGAAGCGTCAGTATTTGAACTTATAACGTCACGGAACACGGTATGGCCGGACTATTATTTTGGAAAATCTACACTTATATATATATATATATATATAGTTGACAGGTTTGTTTAGACTTTCACAGCACCACAACAAATATAAATACCGATCATCACAAATCAACACGTCCATTACAACAACATTACATCGATAATTACAATGGCCCATGAATTTGTGCTGCAATCTTCTCCTTCGGATGCGATCCTTGAGCGGAGGCTTCCCGTCCAAAAATTTGAACCTTGTATCTGGGCTGATACTTTCACTGCATTTTCTTTCGATGTTCAGGTCTCTCTCTCTCTCTCTCTCTCTCTCTCTCTCTCTATATATATATATATTTATGTGAGTGATTGTATATTTGTAATGAAGTTCGATTTATTTTGGCGTTTTAGGCGCAAGAAGAGCGTTCCAAAGCCATCGAAGCACTCAAGGAAAAAGTTAGAGATTTGCTAATTGCTGGAGGACATAATGCACTGGATGATAAGTTAATATTAATCGATACCGTGGAGCGTTTAGGATTGGCCTATCACTTTAAGCAAGAAATAGAGGAGCAGCTCGAAAAGATCGCTAGCAATCACTCGGAACACCATGACTTATACATCACTGCTCTGCAGTTTCGAATTCTTCGGCAGAACCACTATCCTGTTTCCTCAAGTATTATATTTTTTGGAATGTCTATGCGAACTTTGATACGTTGTTTCAGGAGACTAATCTATGATTTTTCACCACGCAGGCGTGTTCAATAAATTTAAGGGTAAAGATGGGAAGTTTGATGAGATGCTTAGTAGAGATGCGAAGGGATTGTTGAGCTTGCTCGAAGCATCACAAGTGAGGATTCATGGCGAAGATATTTTAGAAGAGGGATTAGTCTTCGCGACCCATCATCTTAATATTTTGGCGCCAACGTTGGAGGGTCCATTTAAAGACCAAGTGAATCGAGCTCTAGAGCATCCGCCTCATCGTGGTTTTTCAAGAATAGAAGCGCGCAAATATATTTCTTTCTATGAGAGGGATTCGTCTTACAACAAATTGCTTCTAGAATTAGCCGTATTGGATTTCAATTACGCGCAAAATCTATACCGAAAAGAGCTCCATGATCTTTCTTGGTGGTGGAAAAACATTGATCTCAAGTCGAAGCTCCCTTATGCTAGAGATAGAGTAGTCGAGAACTACTTTTGGGCCTTGGGAGTGTATTTCGAACCTCAAAACTCACTTAGTCGTCTAGCACTTGCGAAATGCACAATAATAACCGCTGTGATGGACGATACATACGATAATTATGCAACAGTTGAAGAAGCAGATATCTTTAACGAGGTTATACAAAGGTACGTGCTTAATGACTATCTCATTTAAAAATTTAATTAAATGATCATCTAACCTAAACATATAAACCAGTAGGAAAATACATTATTAATTACATATTATATAGTCTTACGAGGCACATTTAATCGCTTTTTATTACACTTAAATATATAATTGTTTATTTGGTAAGGCTCTTGTCTTCACTAACTTTTGCATCTCTCTCTCCATACATTAACATTCTTTATTTATAAGGTGGGATATCAATGAAATAGATCGACTTCCAGAATATATGAAAATTGTCTATAAGTTCATTTGGAACACATATGAAGAATTGGCATGTGAGGCATCCAAAGAGGGAAGATCTTCTGTAATGCCCTACATCCGAGAAACGGTAAGAACTACCCTCAAAAGTTTAATGGAATTGTTTCTTGATCTAATTTCAAAATTTAAAAAATAATAACCTTTCCGTACCTTAACAATCTATCTATTTTTTCATTCTGGTTCGTCTCATATCAAAGTATTCATTTCTTTCTTTTTTTTTAAATAATGTTACTATCTACTTAACATTACAAATATCATTCCAATTTACAATATATTACACAAATGTCATTACGTTTGTATCATATAATAGGGTTAATTTAGTCTTTTTACCTTTATTTCTATTTTATTTTAATATAATATTAATATTTTTAAAATTCAGTGCAAAAAAATAAATGGATATATAGATATGAGAGGAATGGAGTATATATTAAGGGTATATTTACTTTGAATAATTATGGCAGATAATATTATTTTATTCACTCTAATTACATATTTACAATAATGGATTAAAACTAATATGCTAATAGCACAGATGGTGCTTAATTAACAAATTCAGCATATGTGCTTATGCTTAAAACTATTTTTTGTTTAATTATGTAATTTAATTATATAAATTAGTATAATAAAATTTTAACTTATCAGCATCCCAATGGATATGCTAATTAAGAATAATTAATCCTACCTAGATCGGTAAAATTAATTTATCCAAGTAATATTTATACTAAAGTTTATGTCATTTTATATTTAAGTAAATAAAGTAAATATCATATTAATGTCATGATTATAATCCATAAAAATAATATACCTATTATAACTCAATCATTTAAAGTAAACGCACTCTAAAATGATAAACAACTTTTCTTTGCCTTACATTTCGAATCAATCCAAAGTCTTTGAATTGTTATGACTTGCAATATACAGTTAAAAGAACTCAGTCGAGGTTATAATCAAGAGCTCAAGTGGTTTATGAGGATGGAGGTGCCCACACTCGAAGCCTACTACTCCAACACAATTATTACAGGCACCGTGTTCTTTAGTTGCGCGGCAACTTTGTTAGGGATTAAATCCGCATCAGAACAAGTCTTCGAATGGTTAAACAGTAGGCCTAAATTTATTAAAGCGTGCTCGAGGGTTGGCCGACTCCTAGATGACAAAGGTTCACATGATGTAAGCACTATCAACAATCTTCAAAATTCTGTCTTTTTTATTTAGCTAATATATATCGATAAGTTTTGCATTCCTTTAACTGGATTTCCTTTTTTTTTTTTTTTTTTTTTTGGTATTCGATTCATTAATTAATTTGCAGCGCGAGGACCGTGGCGGGGAGCTCCTCACGGCAGTCACCATGTACATGAAACAACACGGCGCGACTAAACAAGAGACTTTGAACAAATTTGCAGAAATAGTTAAGGATTCGTGGAAGGACTTTTATGCAGAGTGGTGCAACTTGCCTTCGATGGTTTCTTTCGATGCTGCTAATGTGTTTCTGGGCTTTGTTCAGATGTCGGAGACTCTTTACATGAATTCACGAGATGGGGTTACGAATCCTAACTTCTTGGCTCCGGATATTGCTACCATCCTTTTGGACCCCATAGTCATATGATTGATTATGTATTCGAATAATACATAGTTTCATGTGTGTTTATATATGATTCAAAAGTATTTGGATCTTTCTAGGTTTTAAAATAATAAAAATAAATATTCTCTTCGTTCCGGTTCAAAGGACAAAAATATTAAAACTTAATAAAATACTATTATTTTATAATATAATGTAAAACTCTAAAGAATTCTTTCAAATGGGACAGACTGAGTATTTTAAATATATATATATATAACATTCAAAGGCCGAGACGAAATAAAAGTCAGACTTTTAAATATGTATATATATATATATAACATTTCTTTAACCTATAATAAAATATAAATATTAAAAAAAAACCATTTTTTCTTGTATTTTTAATGCAAAAAATATCAATAATAATAATAATAATAATAATAATAATAAATTTGTCTAAGATTTAATTTCTTTTTTATACAAAAAATAATATAAAATAAAAATAAAAGACTCTTAAATATAGATAAATGATATACTTCATTATTTTGTACCCTATAATAGAATATAAATAATTAAATAAAATAATTTTTTCTAGCATTTTTAAATAAAATATCAATAATAGTATTAATATTCGTTATGTTTAAACAAATTTCAAACAAAAATTAAGGGTCCTTAAATTTATATAAATAATATATTTTTTTATCTATAATATCAATAATAGTATTAATATTAACTTTGTCTAATTTTTTCTAATGTATAAAAAAAAATATTTTTTGTTTGAGAAAGAGTTTTTTGAAGAGCTTTTATAAACATCTTTTGATCGTTTAACCAGTCAAAAAAATCAATTTACATGTTTAATAAATTAGCTTTATGTAAGACCTTTTTGACCAAAAAAAAAAACTAATTTCTAAAAAGCTAACATGAGTTTTTTCACTTTAATTTTATTTATTCCTTATTTATCCTTAAAAATTATTTATTTATCTCATACATATAATATATTTTTATTGCAGTATTTATTGATTATTTATTAATCTATTTAGTTTATTAAATTATAGTTTTATTTTTTTAAATTTAAAATAATAATTATTATTAACTATTACCTATAAATTATTTTATTTATAAAATATATTAATCTATTAAAATTAAATCAGCTAGAAAAGACAAATATTAGTAATTTATTTATATATTTTTTATTATAGAAATTTTACATTAAAAATTAATAAACAATAATTAACATAATAAAAAAATATATACAAAAGATTTATTAATTCATATTTTATACAATTTCAATAAAAAAATTATTATTATTTGTTAATAAAAATATTTTTTTCAAATTTAAAATATAAAAATAAATATTTTATAATATTTTTATAATTTTTAATAATTAATAACAAAAATCCTCATAAATTCTAAGTTAAAATGAACAAAATTAAATATTTTATAATATAACGTATCAATATCTTTAATTATCATTTTACTTATAAATACAACATTTATTTTTTCAAATATTTTAATACAAATAGCTAATTAAATGACCTAGTCAAACTAGCTTGCTAATTGAATCACTTCACAGCTAAAACCTATCTATCAGCTAATTGTCATACACTTAACCACCATATCACATTTCTTTATTAGTTTAACAATTAAATAATGTATATATATATATATATATAAATATTTTATATATAATATAAATATATAATGAATCTTTATTTAAATTGGGCTTTAGGCAGGCTCCCTTTTGCCTGGGCCAAGGGCCCATAGATGGATAATATTTTAAGTAAAGAATGTTTTGTTTATGTAATGGAGTGTTAAATAAAAACTCAGTTTTGTTTTATTGTAATTTTTTATTTCATTTTTTCCTATTTTTATTATTCATTTTGTAAGATTTTTTTACTTTCGAAATATTATATATTAATATTTATTTAATACTTTTTATATAAAACATTTTGTTCAAAATATTAAGTCAAATATCTTTGAATAATTATTACAATTTAAATTCTCTAGTGCTTGTTGTGATATTACTTATCGATATATTATAATAAATTGGTTGAATAATTATTACAATTTAAGTTTTCTATCACTGTTGATTATTTTAATTGATATGTTTTTTTTTTTCTTTTTATATTAGGTATATCGAAATATGTCATTATTTTTAAACATAATATTTTGTATTAAAATTTTTATCTTTTTATGAATAAGTAGAAAATATCTCTTTTTCGTCCATTTAGATTTTTTATATAAATTTATGAATATTGGTATTATATATTGGTTTGCAGTAAAAATGATAAAAATATTCTTATTATTAGTGTGTAATATAAAAATAATGAATATATGTAGTATATTATGAATTGTAAGGATATTTATTACTCCCTCCGTCCCGGATATTTTATCCGTTTTACTATAGATACGAGAATTTAGGAGGGGTATAATTAGTAAATAATTAAAAATCTATTAGTGAAAATAATTATCATATAATAAAAATAATTATAGATTTAGATGAAGATAAGTGATTAGTATAATTAAAATTTAAAAAATTATTAATTAAATTTTTAAAAATAAGATTAAAGTGTATAATTCTTTTTCAAAAAAAAAGTGACAAAATAAGTAGGACGGACAAAAATGGAAAGATGGACATGAGAAGTGGGACGGGAGAAGTATTACGTTAGATTGATAGTACAGTTACTAAATTATAAAACAGAATCCTTATTTTTGGATGGATAAAAATAAAAAATGATACACTTCTTATGAAACAAATAAAATATTATATATTACATTAACGCTTTTTTATACATATAATATTTACGGAAAATTATGTCACCCGAGTACAAAAATACATGAATGTTCCTGGGTTTGTTTGGTTGTAGGGTTTCTTAGGGGTTTTACTATGCATAATAAAATTTTCCTCAAAATATAAAACTAAACAATTAGTGTGTGTTTGTTTGGCTAATTTTATTTCATTTCTATTATTGACAAATTTTTTATTTTAAATATATCAAATCAAATATTTATTATATATATTTTTATCCTCCTTTCATGACTTCTTATTAGATAATGTAAATTTGTAATTTATTAATAATAAATTATAATACTTCTTTGGTCCCGTTGAAAGGGTGGCGTTTGTTTTTTGTACTAATATAAAAGTAATGGCATTTGTGTAATATATTTTAAGTTGAAATGGTATTTATCATGTTAAATAGATAGTACAATTACGGAAAATGGTAACCTTTCAATGAGACGGAGAGAGTACTGGTTTTTTTATATGAGTAGTATTATTGGCATTTTAAATATTTTTACGATTATATTTCAATAAAATATATACAATATGGATATTATTTTGAAAATAATAAAATTATAATACAAATAAATAAAAAGTATATATTTATTTATTTATATAATTAACATAAAATTGATTTTATAAAAAAAAAAATGAAAGGTTTCAAATATAAATAAAAATATTTGTTTATTGTAGAAAAATAGAAGTCTTAAACCCCAATTTATTTTGGCATATGGTTTTTATGCTTTCCTACTGCTGTCTTTTACTGTTTCCATTTGAAGTACTTTGTTTTATCAGGTTGCTGCAACAGGCTGATAACAACATTGTTTGTCTTACACTCTCTCGATTGGTGAGCACACAAGACAAATGAATGGATGTTTTGGGTAGTCAAATTGCATCAAAATTATGCAGAATACATCATTCCATTATGTGCAAAGGATTTTAATTGGTTTTGTCTTACATGCAAAGCAAGATGGCTTTATAAATAATTGTGAAGAGAGAGTGTGGTTGTTGTGGTTGTTTGAAGGCTTTGGGAGTGGAGTATAGTGAGAGAAAGTGAGTTAAATCCTCTCAACCTCAACATTTCTCTTCTCTATGTATTGAGTGAGTGCTAGACACTTTTATCTTGCCGGAGACCTCGTCAGAGGAAGGAGAAATCGGAGTTCCGATCAGGGAAGACGTCCAAATTCTGAGCAGTTCTGCTCCGTGGTCGTTGTCAGCACGAATTTGTGACAACATAAACCTGTTGAGGAAATTTCAAGGTAAACCATGTTAGGAGGATGAGTTGAAGGAGTTGTAGTTGTCTTTGTTCTTAATCAGCACTGATTAGTGAACTTCTCCTGGATTGGTATCCCCCGGATGTAGGATTGTTTAAATCCGAACCGGGTAAACAAACACCTTGTCTTATTGTTGTTTTATGTTCTGCATTGTCTTTTGTTGTTAAAATGTTGTTATAACTGTGAACCGCCCACGCTTTGGGAGTTGACCCTTAAATAGGTGTTCGAAGGTGATTTGGTGCAGCACCTGTTCTTCTTAACAAGAAGTAAAAAGATTTTGAGTAGGGTGTAAGAAATTAGAAATTTAATTAAATTTAATTTAATCGTTTATGTTAAGACAAAGAAGGAAAAGAGATTATCTATAAGTTAACGGAGGTGTTGAGTTTTTGGCCCAAGATCCGTTTCCAGCCGACCCGTGTCCGACCCGGTTGATGACCCGACCCATTCTGGCAACCCAGTCTCCTCCTAATCTAATGTCATATGTCAATTTTAGGGCAAAGATCAACCATCCACTGTGACATATATATTGTTGCCCTTCTTCCATAATTCAAGATGCACCGCTGCTGTGTTCATCTTTCACTAATATTCTCTCTACCACTCGCGATATTTCCTTCCTTCAGTCACTGTGAGTTCGAGGTTTCCGGCCGATTTACTGTAAAATCGAGAGGCGAGTCTTCCGTGTGCCTTGGGGAATGATTGGTGAGGTTTTCTACGGTTCGATTATCCCTAAATCGAACTGATTTCGGTAGAGTGTGGGGTTTTTGATTGGGGGTTGTAGATTAGGTCATCGGTGGGTGTCCGTTGGCCGTCAACCGTCGTGCTGCAGTTTTCGGATTGCTCTTTGTCTATAGGAGTGTACCTTTGAATATTCTGAGCCACAATAGGTGTGTGTTCGTTAGTTCTTGTTTGTTTACGATTAGTGTTTTGTTTTCAAGTTCTAATAAAGTGCATATTTAATTTATGTGTTTTGTTTCGATTTCGATCCTTTAAAATCCTACAGGAGGGACTATTATTAGTACCGACAAGATAAGTCAACTAAACGAATCATGTATAGCAGACAGGCAAAAGATGTAAGCTTTGGGACTTGCATTTCCATTTCTGAGTACATTATTTATATCATCATTATTATTATTATTCATGGGTTCCACTGCTAACAATTTGTTTCTTTAAATCCAAATTTTAAATTTTTATTATTTGAATTTCATGTTTTTTAAAAAATTATATATAATTTTTTTTAAAAAAAAATATCAAATCATACATTATTTTAAAAATAAAATAAAATCAAGAAGCTAAACGGGGGAACATACTTCAAAAAATATATAGAGTACTATATAAGATTTTATACAAATATACAGAGTACTCTATATATTTGGCCTTTGATATATAATCACATTAATATCACATGATAGGATACGATATACGATAAGATAGGATTGTGGCTCAGATTTCACCTCCTATCATCATCACTAACACGAACACACATCGTAAGAAACAAGGGAGTGAAGTTAAACTTTGTCGGTCGGAGATGGACCGATCCACTTATATATTCTAGTGACGTTTTGTTTAGACATTCACAGCAGCACAACCACTTCCATTACAACATTTTAATTATATCGATTATCACAATGTTCCAAGAATCAGTGCTGCAATCTTCTCCTTCAGATTCGATTCTACAGCGGAGGCTTCCCTACAAAACATTTGAACCCTCTATCTGGGCTGATCATACTTTCACTACATTTTCTTTCGATGTTCAGGTTTGTGAATATATATATATATGAGTGATTGTATATATTTGTTGTGAAGTTCGATTTTTATTTTTTTTGGAATTTTAAGCACAAGAAAATCGTTCCAAAGCCATCGAATCTCTCAAGGAAAAAGTTAGAGAAATGATCGTTGCCTGAGGAACTAATGCACTGAATGATAAGTTAATATTAATCGATACCGTGGAGCGTTTAGGATTGGCGTATCACTTTAAGAAAGAAATCAAGGAGCAGCTCGAAAGCATCGCTAGAAATCACTTGCAACACAATGACTTATACATTACTGCCATGCATTTTCGAATTCTCCGACAGCATCACTATTGTGTTTCTTCAAGTATATATACATACATATGTTTTCTCGTAGTTTTTATTGTTCGAATATTTTTTTTTATATCAATGATACCTTTGATATATTGTTTTTACCATACTGATATTGGTTGACTCTCGTAAAATATAAATAAATAAATTATGTGTATCTCTTAAAGCTTAAATTTTTAGGTGTAACTGTCATTTAATATCATCTGACAACTTATATGATTTGTCAACGCGCAGGCGTATTCAATAAATTTAAGGGTAAAGATGGAAAGTTTGAAGAGATACTTAGTAGAGATGCGAAGGGATTGTTGAGCTTACTCGAAGCATCACAAGTGAGGATTCATAGCGAAGATATTTTGGAAGAGGGATTAGTCTTCGCGACCCATCATCTTAACTTTTTGGCACCAACATTGGAGGGTCCGTTTAAAGAACAAGTGAATCGAGCACTAGAGCAAGCCCATCCAGGCTTATCAAGAATCGAAGCTTGCAAATACATTTCTTTCTATGGAAATGATTCGTCGCACAACAAAGAGATTCTAGAATTAGCCATATTGGATTTGAATTACGCGCAAAATCTATACAGAAAAGAGCTCCATGATCTTTCTTGGTGGTGGAACAACATTGATCTCAAGTCGAAGCTCCCTTACGCTAGAGATAGAGTGGTGGAGATCTACTTTTGGGGCTTGGGAGTGTCTTTCGAACCTCAAAACTCACTTGCTCGTCTAGCACTCGCTAAATTCACATTAATAATCATTGTGTTGGACGATACATACGATAATTATGCGACAATTGAAGAAGCAGAAACCTTTACCGAGGTTCTACAAAGGTATATGTATTCATAGTTTATGGTTTTTTTTAGTATACTGAGGGTGTGTTACAAATAACTATTGAATTATTTTAGGGTAATTGTTTTTTTTAGTGTCGCACCTAACCTTTATTATTACTTTAAAACTCTAAATGAATCATGTATAAAAATTGTCTCGCAACTAAGTTTTTTTTTTCGTAAAAATGGTCATCCGTCACTGAAATTGACATATTATCAATAATGTGGCTCGCCGATGTTAATTTGAGGCTGACGGTCTAATATGCCACAGCTGTGTGGATGGTATGTGAATTTTTTAAATCTTTTTACATAAAAATTAAAACTTTAAAAATCCACATTTCCCTCATGTGGTGTACAGATCAAACATGTCAACATAGGCAAACCACATAGACGTGTCAATTCTTGTGACAAAAGACTATTTTTGTGAAAAAAGAAAAAGCTATGAAATTGTTTTCATACAAAGTCATTTAGAGTCCTAAAAAGTAACGAGTCAAATGCGCGATAAGAAAAATAATTTATCCATTGTTTTATCATGTGATTATATAATGCATTAAATTATATATACTAAATCTTATCGTATAAAGTAAGCACAGTCTAAGGGCGTGTTTGGCAATTAGTTGATAGTTTTTAGCTGTTAGCTGATTTAATTAGATGATAGCGGTTAGCTGATTCAATTAGCTGGTTTGACTAGCTGATTCGATTAGTTGTTTGTATTAAAATGTTTGGTAAAACAACTGTTTGATATTAGTTGTTTATACGTAAAATGACAATTGAGGACATTTCTATTTTATGTTTATTTCTAATATATTCAAATGTTCTTTTGAGTTTAGAATATTTAAAAAAAAAATTGTTATTAGTTATTGAAAATTGTAAAAGTGTTATAAAAGTATTTATTTTTATTACAGTTATATTTTAAAAAATAATATATTTTTATTAAATTATACAAATAGTTTTTTCTAGTAAATTATAAAATAATAAATTTTTCATGTATATATTTATTATGTTAGTTGTCGATTAGTTCATTATATTTATAATTTTCAATAAATTTAATTTATTTTTAGTATAAAATTTATATAATATAATTTTAATATAAAAATAAATTATTTATATTTATATTTTGTATTTTATGTTAATTTTAATAAATTTATATATTTTATAATTAAAATAATTTTTATATAAAAATTAATTATTTTAAATTTATAAAAGTAAAACTATATTATAATAAAATATTCTAATATAATTAATAAATAATCAAAATATATTTATTTGTGTAAACTGCATAATAAATTTTTAAGGGCATATAAAGGAATAAAAAAAAATTTACAGAAAAAACTATTTCAAAACGTTGGGTAAGTTAGCTTTTCAGAAATTAGCTTTTTGGATCCAAAAAGCTATTCTAAAAAGCTAATTTACCAAACACCTAAATTAGTATTTTGACTGATCAAATAGCTAAAAGTTGTTCAATAAGCTAAAAGCTCTTCAAAAAGCTATTTGCCAAACACCCCGTAATCATTTTTTTTATATATATGCAAGAAGCATGAACCTTGCACTTCTGTTTTGCTAACTTTAATTTTTGCATGATCTCTCTCTATATATTAATACAATAAGGTGGGATATCAATGAAATCGATCGACTTCCCAACTACATGAAAATTTTCTATAAGTTCATTTGGAACACGTACGAAGAGTTGGCATGTGAGGCATCCAAAGAGGGAAGATCTTTTGTAATGCCCTACATCAGAGAAACGGTAAGATTTACCCTTAAAAGTTTAATTATTTCTTGCACTAATTTCATCGAAGAGACCACTATCAGAAAATTAGGCTATAGTTGCAATAAAAAAAGTTACGGTTTTAAAAAAAATTGGTGATTTTTTACTAAAAAGTCATGGAAAAATATACGAAACCATTTCCGTGGAATTTTGCTGGTGACTTTTGACATTTATGTGACAATAAGTTATAGAATAATACCATGACATGTCCGTAACTTTATATAGCAACAGAAGATACAACAAAATTTTGTGAATACTTTATAATTGTGACATTTTTGTGACAATAAGTTACAAAATAATACCATTACACCTCTGTGACTTTATATTTTGAAAAAAAATATATAATTATACGGAGGGAGTATAATTTTTGTTCAATGGAACCACGCACGATTATTAAAGACTTACACGACCTGTCATGCCAAGTTAACTATCTACTCTAAAGTATTATTTTTTGTTTGTTATTATATTTTAAGTATATAAATATTATTGATTATAAATTTATCTTTAAAAACATATACATATTTATTTTGAGGGGTTTGGATTTTGAGTTGGGATTTGAATAATAAAAATTTTGAATTTGAATAGTTGTATGATGTGATATAAATAGGTGTTGATGTGATGTTTTGAATGTAAAATTGATTTTTAGTATAATATAAAAAATGAAAAATAGGTGTTTAATTTGATGTTTTTGGGGAAAAAATGGATGAACAGTGTAAATTCAATCTAATCCCCAAACAAACACACTCTTAATATATCATCATGAATTTTTAACAAAAAATTGAATAGCTACAAACAATATTGAATAAAGATATTAAAGATGATTTTATTATTTTGTTATTACTTTGAATAGCTACGAACAGTAATAAGAAAAATTTATAGTTGTTTTCGTTACTTATGTTGTGATATTTGATTTTAAAAAATCACGAAAATTATACTATGACAATATCTGTAATAATTTAAAATGTTGAAAATATTTTAGTTATTTTTGCCGTAACTTAAAATAGTCAAGAAAAAATTTCATGACAATTTTTGTGACGAAATAGTCAAAAGACATAGAATAGTCAAAAGAATCACACATAATATTATTATTTAATTATAATAATATTATAATCTTTTATATTTTGCAATAAAAATACATAAATGTATGTTTGTTTGGGGGATTTCCCCAAATTTCGTTTTCCTTATATGTTTTTTATAAGTATAAATAAATTGTGTTACTTTTAGTGTTTTGAAAATTGAATCAACTAATTGTTAAAGAGTTCGCTAATGTTGTGCAGTTAGCATATTATTGGCCTAGGCCAGTTTTTATTTATGTATTTATTTATTATTATTATTATTATTTGTAGTATGGGCTATATATTCTCATTTACTATTACATGAGTAATTTTGTGAGTAACCAATGTGAGCAAGTGTGCATCACAATTCTATATAATGAAATTCTTGGCTTAACAGCACCTTAAGATTAGTTTGATCGAACTATGTTATCAAATTTCATGTCTCTTATTATTTTTTCGCCTTTGTATTGTGTTATTTACGATAACACACAATCATTGAATGGTTATAACTTGCAATATGCAGGTGAAAGAACTCAGCCGAGCTTATAATCAAGAGCTCAAGTGGTTTATGGAGATGGAGATGCCGACACTCTGAAGCCTACAACTCCAACGCAATTATTACCGGCACAGTATTCTTGTGTTTTGCCGCGACTTTGTTAGGGATTAAATCCGCATCAGAACAAGTCTTTGAATGGTTAAAGAGTAGGCCTAAAATTGCTAATGTATGCTCGATGATTGGCCGACTTCTAGATGACAAAGGTTCACATGAAGTAAGCATTGTCAACAATCTTCAAATTTCAATCTTTCTTATCTAGCTAATTAATATATCCAAACATATCCATGGGTAAACTGATTTTTTAGCCCCGTATTTGAACCTATTTATCATTTTAGTCCTGTAACTAGAGCTTGTCGCAAATTACTCTCGTAAGTGAAAATTTTTTGCACTTTTAGTGCTCTAGCGCCGGAGATGCCTATGTGGCAACTACATGGCTCACTGGAGGACATGTGTCCGCCAGCCAAATCAGTGACACCTGGCGGACACGTGGATTTTTAATTTTTTTTCAAAAAAATAATTTATTTATTTTGTCTTTTTTGTAAAAATTTGAAAATCTAAAATTTTAAAAAAAATTATAAATCCACGTGTGAGTCTGGTGTCGCTGACCTGGCAGACACGTATCCTCCGCCAAGACACGCAGGTGCCACGTTCCGGCGCCGGAGGACTAAAAGTGAAAAATTTTCAGTTATAGGACTAGTTTGCTACATGGTCCAGTTACTGGAATAAAAATAATGAAAATGATCCGTTACGGAACTAAAAAAAATCAGTTTATCCTATATCCATAATTTTCATTCCTTCGATTGGATTCTTTTATTTGATATATTAATTTGCAGCACGAGGACCGTGGCTGGGAGCTCCTCACGGCAGTCACAATGTACATGAAACAACACGGCGCAACTAAACAAGAGACTTTGAACAAATTTTCAGAAATGGTTGAGGATTTATGGAAGGACTAGCGGTGCAACTTGCCTTCCATCGTCTCTTTCCATGCTGCCAATGTGTTTCTCAGATATGATCAAATGTTGGAGGCTCTTTACAAGAATTCACAAGATGGGCTTACGTATTCGAAGTTCTTGGCTCCAGAAATTGCTAGCATTCTTCTCGACCCAATAGTCATATGATTAAGTATAGATTCCATAGCGTAACCCCCGACGCTTCAGGTCACCTGTCATACATGGTTCGTCTAATATGACTTTTCCGTCAGGCCTGATTTGCAGGGTATTAGGTTTGTCCGAGAGTTTACCCAGTGCGCACTTTCGAGTAGCGGCTGCGAATTCGCACATCATAAAAAAAAATAGTATAGATTAATATAAAAATAAAGAATGTGTGTAATGTTTTTAAAAAAAAAAAAGTATTAAAAAATTTATTGGAAGAACAAAGTCTAGACACTTGGAGTGATGTAATTAAATAATAGGAGTGAATGATGTTACGAATAAAGACTAAGTTGCTTGAGTAATATAATATAGTACTTTACGTCATTTTAGTTCAAATTTTTCATTTTTTAAAAAATAATTTTTATCAATTAAGTATCAAAATATTTCTACTTTTTATTTTGTACATTATTTTTATTTTAATATTAAGAAAAAAAAGATATTACAGTATTTTATTACACTATATATTTATAAATAAAATATTAATTTATTATAATTCGCATGCAAAAGAATATTAAATTAAAATTGGGTTTGTTTGGTTATGTTATTTATTTTCTATATTCAGTAATTGTTTCTGTTGGGAATTTTGACCGAAATTTTTGGTCTAATCCAACGAATCCTTCGGTAAATAAATAATTAGTTGGTCCACTCTTTAGTCCGGTTCATCAGATCAGCCCAATTCTCTTTTACCCAAACTCGAGCCCAAGCCCAAGCCCAATCCATTGGTTAGTTTTGTTATTTTAGTTTTGGGGAAGTTAATTAAGTTTATATTAGAGAATTGGTTTTAGGGTATGTTGGTGATGATTACTCCATCCAATCGTTAACCAGAGGAGAGATAGACCGAAAGAGTGAGGGAGAGGAAAACCGATGGTTTTGGACAAGTGTTTCCGGTGAGGTTCGAGATACCCTTTTCGAGTGCCCACTCTGATGAGTGTCGAGGTTTGGAGTGATGTGCCGAGGTTTGGTCTCCGGTAGCCGCCGCCTGCTGTCGCTGTTCGGCGCCGTCGGTCGAAGTCAGCTTCTGTCGTCGGTGCTGTTGCCCGCCGCCTCTATCGGAAGAGATCATCTCCAGCCAATCACCGGATAACACAATTTGTTCATCGCCAGAACCTTGCTGCCAGTCACTGGAAGATCGGCTGTCAGTCGTCGTCGTCGGCTGAATCGAGCTCGTCGTTGATAGAATTGGATCTCAATTGGAACAATGAAACAGAGACACGAATGAGCAGGTTATCGGACAGGGAAGTCCAAGTTCTGCCTTGTTTTTATTTGTCTAATCTTGGGTCCTGTTTGCTTGTGTTATTAAATTTGATATTTTCTTTTATTAATTTTTATTCGGTAGTATAAAATTTTGGATTTATATAGTTTTGAGTTTGAATATTAAAATTTAAATGATCATGGAAATTAATTTGATTTTTTCCTCTAATAAGATTAGGTTGGATTAGTCTTAATTTTAACAAAAATAAAATATAAGACTCGATTGATTTTTTTCTATACAATCTTATGATTTTATAACAATATATATATACATATAAAATATATAGTTTTTTTGTAGATTTTATAATAAAATAAAAATAATATCGTGCATCGCAGAGATATTACTCTAATATGCATATGTCTAAACATGAATAAATATTTACTTAACGAGGATGGAGAACCTTACGAACAAGTAGATGCCGACAGACCTTTTCGATTAGGCTGTTGGTAATGATTTTTTACAACAACAAATTATAAAAATATTTTTAAAAATTAATAAATTTAAAATTGAACTCTTCTACTTGATAAAAAATGCAGAGACACTATCAATTTTATTTGTTTCATAAAATTTAATTGTATTGTATCTGAAATACGTTTTAAATCATCCAAAGTTAATTATGACTATAAATCATATTATTATATCAATGGCCTTTAAAATGAATATGCGCTTAATTATTTAAAAAATAATAATAATAAATATTAAATAACATCATCTATTCTATTTTTTAGTAATAGATAATCAAATTAAATTAAAAAAATTCACAATATTTATTTCAATGCAATACAATACCATATACATAATAGTAACTTGACTTTTCATCTCATTTACTAAAGGATATTGAATAAAAAATTATTTACATTGCTTATTAGTTTATTTGTTTTTATTAACACAATGGGTTTGTTCATATTGTGTTTTGAGGAGGCATATTTTTTTATAAATATAATTAAAAATATAATATATACATATATTAACACAATATATATTAAATATATATATTTTATTCGTTTATAAAAGTCATTCAACATAAAATAATATTTTATATAACTCATAAAATTTTTCATATTTAACATTAAAAATAAATTTATTTTAAAACACAAATTAAACAAACACAATGCTTCAACAACAGTTTTATAATGTTCATTTTTATATTAATGTACGAAGGCCTTTATAATAGATATTTGTAGTGCATGGTGTTTTATAGTACAAATTTTAATGAAATAAATATTCTATTATTTCCGAAAAAAATAGTCTTATTTGGAGTCGGCATGGGATTTAAGAAAAATAGTATTATATTAAAAGTTGGTATAAAGTAGATACTAAAAGATTAAACTATTCTTGTAGTATATTTGTGTAAAAGTAATAACATTTGTGTAATGATAATAAAAATGTATGAGTAGTCGTGATATGATTATTTGAGAAAATTGAACTATTGTTTTAAGACGGACAAAAATAGAAAAATGTGACTTGACGAAAATAGAAAAATATGACTATTGTTTTAGAGTGAAATGAGTAGTATATAATAGAACGGTTTGTTCATTGTGTTTTTTGTTGGAATAATTTTCGATAAATATTATTGAAAATATATAATATATACACATTGTTGATGTAATTTTTCAACAAAAATAAAGTAAAATTCAAAGATATAGAAAATATCCTTAAACTTGATTAATTAGTGCCTGAGATTAGGAATCTCTAAACACTGTATGGTACAGAAAATAAACTGGAAAATAAAAGACTGAAATTTAAAGTGGTGATCCCCAAATCTGACTTTGCTTTGTTGAAGTTGATTGAAGATACCCTGCCAAATGATGATCCAAACCCTTAAATATTATCTGGGAAACTGTACTGAAAACCGTCGCCCGAACGGTTACAACGTCTCCTTTCCAACCGTCTTCCAACCCTTCTCCTGCTGACACGTGTCCTCAGCGGACCAAAATTGTCACTATATTTCACTCTTTGAGCCGACCACAGACCTTCCGCCCTTTTGGCCCGACTGCCAATCTACAACCGTATTGGTCCGACTGCCAATCCTCCCGACTTGCAAACCATCTGACTTGTTTGGATTAGCTACAAACATCCCGACTAACAAACCATCCGACTTGTTGGTCCCGCCGCAGAGTTCCGACCTGAGAACTTCCCGACCTGTCCGACCTGAGGACTTTCCGCCCTGAGGACTTTTCGACCTGCGGACTTTCCGACCTGAGGACCTCCCGACCTGCGGACTTCCCGTCCTGATGACTTTCCGTCTTGAGGACCTCCCGACCTGAGGACCTTCCGACCTGAGGTCTTTCCGTCCTGAGGACTTTCCGTCTTGAGGACCTCCCGACCTGAAGACCTTCCGACCTGAGGTCTTTCCGTCCTGAGGATTTTCCGTCTTGAGGACCTCCCGACCTGAAGACCTTCCGACCTGAGGTCTTTCCGTCCTGAGGACTTTCCGTCTTGAGGACCTCCCGACCTGAAGACCTTCCGACCTGAGGTCTTTCCGTCCTGTATTTTCCTTAGAAATAAATCTATTTTCCTTGATTTCCTCACGGTGTCCTTCAGCCAGTTCAATCAACTCTATTGCCAGGCTCATTTTTCTTTTACCTTGGGCTTTTTAACCTAATTCTAAATTTCATACGTAACACACATATTAATACGATGAATTTGTTCACTTAATATTTTTTGTTGGAATGGTTCCCTCGATCTTTGGCTTCTCCACAACTATGGTATGTATTTATCATCTTATGTCTCTGGTAGATTAACCATAATGATCTTATGAGGAGGAGTCCAGCCGTGAACAACCGAATCCCAGGCTTCTTCGCTCATCAACAAGATGAAATACATCATTTTGATATTTCAATATTGAAAGTTATCTTCATCTAGCAATGGAGCTCTTGTTACGGATGTTCCTTATTTTGCTTCCATGATCATGGATCATTTTTCGGTAATATCTGTGAAGAGAATGCTCGGATACCAATTGTAGGCCTTAAAATCGATCAAACACGTAGCAACAATAAATTTTGAAAATTAACACAGAAAAATCTCTCAACACAGACTCGTTGTTTGTTAAACGATCGAACTACAAACGCACATACTAGTTACAAGATCAGTAAATAACATGAACAAATTGTTAACGTAGTTCGGAGGGTTCCAACACCTGCGTGATTCACTATTGAAAATATTAAAATATGAAGATACACAGATACAATTCGAGTTGCCTCGTCAAGAAACCAAAACTCTAATTTTTTAGATCATACCTAACTAGCAATACTTATAATATTTTATTTCGGGCAAAACGCTAGTTACAAATATGCATATATGTGTGTGTAAATTGTAAGCTGTAATATATGTTCGTAGCAACAAAATTTTATCAATTCTACGTCTAGCAACCTTCATAACGTGCTCAAATAATGGACAAAAGAATTGCTCTTTACTTTGTCCCAAATCAATATATCATCTTAACATTATTTTTATTTTTATTTTTATATTTTATTATTGTTCCTTTATTTTTCGTATATTTAAAGAATTGAATGTAAATTAAATTGGACCTTTGGATCATTGTAAAGGGCAGAAAATCAGAGCCACCCAAAACAATACCCTTTTCTTACCCACATATCTCTACTTTCTTCAATTTTCGTTTGTTTGTATTCTTCGATCGTTGGCACCTCACCACATCTTGTCTGGGTGGACGGCTAATCCTTCAAGCCCATTTTCGTCATTTCAGGTTTCTCTACTTTTGGATCCACCCAATAATAGAGCCCCACGTGGAAGAATCTCTCTCCGCCGGTCAGGCTGACCCATCCCGACCGGATATTCTGGACTACTTTACCACCGTTGGATTCGAATCCAACGCTCCAGATTCATTCACTCACAGTTTCATTACATCCCGGCGCTCCACTCACCCACAGTGTCCTAACTTTACGAACGACGGGAAACTGAGAATTGCTACGCTGAAAAAAAATCTTACCTTTGCCTGCGGCGGCGCGTCCACCACCGCCAACCGCCGTCGTAAGGATGGCTTCCGCCGTCCTCACCTTCTCCCCCAACCTCCGGCTGCCGCCAAACCCTAACCCCCTCCGCCGCCGCCCGGCGAAATTCCGATCACTTATAAGCAACAACAATCGTCTAATTTTCGCCGACAAGAAATCCGTATTCCTAACCCCATCCCCCCGACGCATCCCTAAACTCAGAGCCGCATCGGCGGCGGCGGCGCCAGTATCTCCGGCTCCCCAGCAGCCGGCGTGGCAGGGCGCCGCCGTCAAACCCTTGGTCGCCACAATCGCCACCGGAGTAATTCTGTGGCTGATCCCCGCCCCCGACGGCGTCTCCCGCATCGCGTGGCAATTACTCGCCATCTTCCTCGCCACCGTCGTCGGAATCATCACTCAGCCGCTGCCGTTGGGCGCCGTCGCGCTGATGGGCCTCGGCGCCTGCGTTTTCACCAAAACCCTAACTTTCGCCGCCGCATTTTCCTCCTTCGGAGATCCGATTCCATGGCTGATCGCTCTGGCCTTCTTCTTCGCCCGAGGGTTCATCAAAACCGGATTAGGTAACAGAATCGCATACCAATTCGTGAATCTCTTCGGCAGTTCATCTCTAGGGTTAGGCTACAGTCTCGTCTTCAGCGAAGCTCTCCTCGCGCCGGCGATCCCCTCCGTCTCCGCCAGAGCCGGCGGGATTTTCCTGCCGTTGATGAAATCCCTCTGCGCCGCCTGCGGCAGCAATGTCGGCGACGGGACGGAGAAGAATTTGGGCGCCTGGTTGTCCCTGACCTGCTTCCAAACATCTGTGATTTCGTCGTCGATGTTCCTAACGGGCATGGCTGCCAATCCTCTCGCTGCGAATCTTACAGCAAGCACAATCAACATGACGATCGGATGGATGGATTGGGCCAAGGCTGCAATCGTGCCTGGATTGATATCCCTAACTTTGGTGCCATTTATTCTCTACCTGATCTACCCGCCCGCCATTAAAAGCAGCCCTGATGCTCCCAAGCTCGCCAGGGAAAATTTGGAGAAGATGGGGCCGATGTCGAAAAATGAGGCCATCATGGCCGGAACTCTGCTTCTCACAGTATATATACATTCATTCATATACATATATATAGATTGTTTGTATAGATAGTCTGTTGTTTGTTCTTATTGTTTTGGTTGATTTGAATCAGGTCGGGCTATGGGTGTTCGGAAGCGTGCTGAGCATCGACGCTGTCACAGCAGCGATTCTCGGGCTATCAGTGCTGCTCGTAACGGGAGTCGTGACATGGAAGGAATGCCTGTCGGAATCGGTAGCTTGGGACACACTAACATGGTTCGCCGCCCTAATCGCCATGGCCGGGTACCTCAATAAATACGGGCTAATCTCGTGGTTCAGCCAAACCGTCGTCAAGGTATAACTATACATACGGCTGCGGATCCTGTGCTGATGCTGACTTGGCCGGATCTAGCATATGGTATAGGGTGACCAGTTAAATTATACTCCCTCAGTCCCATGTAATATGGACACGGAATGTAGGTAAAATATAATTAATAAGTAATTAAGAAGTGTATTAATAAAAATAATTATAGATTAAAATTAAAATAACTAAATAGTTTAATCAAGATTTAAAAAATTATAAAATTTAAAATTTAAAATGTAATATAAAGTGTATAATTATATTTAAAGACAAATTACGTGGAACAGACAAAAATAGAAAATATGAACAAATTATGTGGGATCAGATAGAGTAATATAATATATATTGTATTATAAATATACTGAAATATGTTTAAATATATACTGATCACCACCCAATAGCATATGTTGATCTGATCGGATCAGCAGCTGATCCATGCCTTATTTATAAACATCGATGCATCTGAATTATGCGACTGACTAACGATTATCCGGTGGTGGTGATGCAGTTTGTCGGGGGGCTAGGGCTGACGTGGCAGCTGTCGTTCGGGATTCTAGGCCTTCTCTACTTCTACTCGCACTATTTCTTCGCGAGCGGCGCAGCCCATATCGGTGCCATGTTTACGGCATTTCTGTCGGTGTCGACCGCTCTGGGCACTCCGGCGTACTTCGGCGCCTGCGTGCTCTGCTTTTTGTCGAACCTGATGGGCGGGCTCACACACTACGGCATTGGGTCGGCGCCGGTGTTCTATGGCGCCGGGTACGTGCCGTTGGCGACGTGGTGGGGGTACGGGTTCTTGATATCGGTTGTGAATCTCGTAATTTGGCTTGGAGTTGGCGGGGTGTGGTGGAAAGTTATTGGGCTGTGGTAAATACGATAATATTTGGATCATTGTTGGAATACACACACAAGAAAATAGCTTAATTAGCATTGTAACGGCTATTATTATTATTATTATTATTATTATTATTATGGGAGTCGGAATTTTTTTGTATTAGCTATTTCCCAGACAGCCTTGGTCGATTTGTAATGAACGTGCTACTTCATTCGTTCGTCTCTAAAAATCATATTTGTAATTAACTGTAAAAATATTTTTATATTTGTATAATCTTTTGTACAAATATTCTTCTATTATTATTATTTCTTCCGTCCGGTTCTAAGGATTTTATTTACCATTTGCGTCATTATACTTAACATTAAAAATATCTTTAGATTTGTATAATTTTTTGCATAAATATCATTCTACTAGTATTAGAAGACACTAGTAGAAATATTTTTGTTATTTTTCCTTAATTTGTATTATGATTAATATTCAAAAATCAAAATGCAAAAAATAAATAAGACCTTTAGAGTCGGACGAATATAGTATAAAATATTAATTGAAGTATTTTTATAATTTTTTAAAATTTGCACTATATTTTGATATAATAATTACTATTTAAAAATTAATACACAAAAAAATATAATTAACCTTAAGTCGGACGGATGTAGTATTACTTAGTGTAGTATTTTTATTTTTTTTTTCATGAGGACAGGGAAAGGGTTACGGGTCACGAGATAAATCGTGAGTCCTGTAAGAAGATTACACATGTGTTGGGCTCTATGTTGGTGTAGCTCAAGTTAAGTATTTGTACTAATATTATCGGATGTTGATTATAGAAAAAAATTAATATTAGAAATAAAAATAAATTAATTTTTAATTTTAATTTTATTATTAAATATAAACTAATATACGATTTACCTAAAAATAAATAACATAAATATTTATAAATCCAAAAATATATAAAATTATTAATATAGAGTACAAAATAAAATAGTATAAGCAAATTATACGTTAAAATGACGCATTATCTTCGGATTAGGTTAGACCCCAATATTTAGGAACTTCGATGCTTAAAATGAGGGGGAAAAAAACTATATTGGATATTAAATAATGACAGGGAAAAAAAAAAGAATTATGAGACTTTTTGGCATTTATATATATATATATTAAGATTACAAAATATAATTAGGTAGTTTTTATTTTATTGATTATTAATATAATTATTTTAATTATAAAAATAATAAAAATTATATTCCAAAATTATTACATTTTCAGTATCCTTAATTAGGGGTATAAATAGACATAAAATTATATTACAATTTTCTTTAATCATAAAATCAAATCAATTATTTTATTATCTTTAAAAATGTATTAATTATAATTTTATTAATTTTGATGTACTTAATAGCATTTAATACATATTTATTTTATTAAAAAAAATTTTAAAATGACAAAAAAAACATTTGATGGAGTAGATCACACACCGATTTCTTATATTCCCTCCGTCCCAAAAGATTTGTATTGTTTTTTCATTTTCGTCCGTTCCAAAAAATTGTCTTGTTTTCTTATTTAATAGTCGTGGTCCCACTTTATAATAAAATTATTCATATTTTTCCATACTACCCCTAATTATTACTCTAACATACTCTTTAAAATCCTTTAAAAAGCAAGGGCATTTTAGTAATTTATATTCTACTTTATACCATTTTCAATTAAATACTATTATTACTTAATTTTCGTGTCAACTCTCAGTAAGACAGGAGGGAGCATATATATGTATATATTTATTTATATGATAGACATCACATGAAATGATAATAGATAATATACAGATTATATTCGTCCAGCAAAAATAATTCATTTGAGTTTGACACGAAAATTAAAAATGGATAAAAATAAAAACATAATTTAATTAGTGATTAATGATGATGAATAGAGAATATAATAAATATAGTGACAATTGTAGTAAATAAATTTTGAATTGAAGATAGTTCATTTTTTAAAATTTAACTTTGTCAAAATTAATTTAGTAGACTAAATTTAAAGGACAGACGAAAAAAAAGTGAAAAAAAAATGACAGACAAAATGATTAATATAATATAAATACAATATATAAACTAACAACAAATGACAATAATCTATATAATACACTCTACTATAATCTATTGTATACACTCAAATAATTAATAAGATCGGCCCAACTTATTTCTAGCAGCCGGAGGCTCAAATGCGATGGGCCCCAGCTAGATCGGCCCAGCGCCCAACCTGTGCAACTGCCCGCAGAAGATCGTGGATTGGATAACAAACATTCATCTTCTTCTTTCTTTAATTTTTTCTCCGCATTACTTTTTCTGTATTTTATCTAAATTTTTTCAGTTTTGCTTTAAATTAATTTACAACTTCCTTCAGCTTTGTTCTTGTTTATTCTGCTCTCCTTTTTACATTAATTATTTTATCATCGCGAGATAGTTCAAATCTTTTCTTGAAGAGAATGGAAACTTACGATTAAATCAATTTCGACTGACTTTTTTCGATTAAGTCGTCGGTGGCGATTATTTTACAACTGACATCTGTATAGTATATTATAGCATTTAATTTCCGCATATGACAACGGTCTCCATACCACACTCTATAAATATGAAAAGACAATACTTGTTTTTAAATAGCATTGCTCATATTATTTAACAATATATGTTATTTGCACACATGAGGGGTCTCTTTGTTTTATTAGATAATTTGAAAAAATATTTTTTTTTGATACGAGGTACACAGAGAATTGTATATAAAATATAAATAATGAATATATATATCATTTTGAGAAACGTGTGAAGTATTTTGAAAAAAAAAAAAAAAAAAACACACCCAATATACTTCCTCCGTCTCAGATACCGTACGATTATTTTAGGAGTGTAATTAATAGATAATTAAGAATGTACTAATGAAAATAATTATCCTATAATATAAATAATTATAAATTAAAATTAAGATAACTAATTAGTTTAATTAAAATTAAAAAAAATAAAATTTAAAAATTTAAAATGATATAGTATGTGGGACGGACAGAAACGGCAACGTGGACATGATATCTGGGACGTATGGAGTATTTTTCAAATAAGTGCAATAAGACATTAGCCGGTTGTGTTTTGGTGTATTGTATAAATAAAAAATTATTGAATTGAAATTAGAGAAAGACAAAAAAAATTGTTATAATTGACTGATATTTGAAGACCTACACTACTAGGTATAATTGGTTCATTTATTTTTAATAATCTTTCAAGGTAGTGTAACCTGACAGTAATCTAGCTCTTGTTATTTGTGTTTAAATTTTGGGTTTGTTTGTCATTTTTTTTTTCGATTTTTATAATATATATATATATATATTTTTTACTTTTTTAATAAAAATTAATCAGTTTGTTCACTACCATTTTTCAATGAAACAATTTTCTGTAAATAATATTAAAAAAAACAAATATATACAAGAAAATACTCTCTCCGTCCAACTAGAAAGTATATATATTTATATTTTGCGACGTCCAATTACAAAGTAAATATTTTATTAAATACCTCACTTTTTTTCCACAAATACCCTTACTTTACATCACATCGTTACTTTTACACCAAAAAAGAAGGGCAAAAAAGTCATTTTACTACTTTTAACTACCCACTATAATTAAAATACTATTATTTCTTAAACATTACGCTAAAAGTAAATGTTTACTTTGTGTGTGAACGGAGAGAGTATATATCATCCACTCCTAAAAAGTCAACCATTCAATACAAAATATTATTTTTGTTTATCTTCCCCATACAACAAATAGGTTCATCTAAAAATGCTGAATGAACAAACTGATTATATTTTAATTATCAACATAATTTTGTATACTTTACGATAAAAAATAAAAAAAATTCTTCGAATTAAAATACTAAACAAACAAACTCTTATTTTTTTATATTCCCTCTGTCTACCGTTAAACTTTTCATTTTCCCTATCTAAATCAAAACTTTCCATTTCTATTTTGAGAAAAAGTAACTCTAAGCTAAATATCAAAATACCCTTATTTTTTACTTTGCATATCACTTTTTAAAGGTAAAATAGATATTATATTATTTTTAACACTATATATCTATAAAATACTTAATTTTCATTAATCCGCGTGCAAAATCAAATGAGAAAATTACAATTGAACGAAGAGAGTATTAATAATTAAAAACTTTTAAAAAAATAAAATATATATTACATGCAATACATATTTTGTTATTTTAGTCTATCTAAACACAAGACATTTACTTTTATTTTTGTAAGTAAATGTGGATATACTATATACTACCTCCATTCACTCACAAAATATATCTATTTTTATTTTCGATTATTTAATTATAAAATAATTATTTCAAAAATATCTCATTTTTTTTATAAATATTTTTATTTTACCATCATATTATTACTTTTAGTAAAAATAAAATTTTTTTTACATTACTTTTAACCACCACTATAATTAAATATTATTATTTTTGAAAATTTATGCCAAATGTAAATATATATATATTTTTTTAAGTGGATGAAAAAGTATTACAAATAGCCTCAAATTTATTTGTGTGTATCAATATCATTACAGTACATTAAAATACAAAGATGATATTTACACAATATATACTTTATTGTTGTTTAAATACAATATTTCTTAAACTTATATATATATATTGGTGGACTAAAGAAATATTTTTAGTTTAAATGTTCTATTAAAATTTTATGTTTTTCGAAATATTTTATTACATATATATTTTTTTATATATAAAACACGTTTTATAACTATTTTTCATTTGGTATTTTATTATCTAAAAATAATTTGAAAATTAAGTTTTTTTATTTTAATTTCATATTAAAATTTTGATTTAAATATTATTTTGATATCATATTTTATTTAAAAATTTTATATTTTTATTGGAAAAAACTTAATATCATTAATTTAGTTTTGAAATCCAAACCAAATACACTATTTTGAAATTTAAGTAAAAGCATATAATTTTTTATGCATGTGTATAAGCAAAATTTTGAATTAAATTTGACGGTCCTAGATGTATTTCAATACCTGAAACTCCAATTCTCAACACTTTTGATCAATGCAGCGGAAATGAATGCAAATTCAAAAGGTTTGTTGTGTTCAGAATGATGTAATTCGCTTGATAACAAATCACAACAAGGTCTATGCGTAATGAAACGAAGCAAACAACATATCAAAGTTTGTTGACCCAGTTCGACCCTCAACTGGCTTACG